GGTCAGACCTTTCCTGATAAGAAAATTGGTTCAGCTATCTATCTATTCCTAGAAATACCCCGCCCTGCTAAGGAACTTAGTCTTCAGCAGTGACCTTCAACTGCGCTTGGGGATTTTCCCCTCACCCCCACGATAATTAAGTTCTGTGTTCTCCTTCTGTGATAGGACCATGCTACTGCATGGAAAATGAGGCACTGTACCACTACATGCAAATCACGTATCCCTAACTCCCTGACCTCAACAACTCAAACACATTCACCCTCGAAATCCCTCCCACTACTCAAGGTTTATAAAACTCTGGTTTCAAATAAACACATTGCTGGAATTGTGTGCTGCATGATACTATTAGCTTTCCACCATGGCCATCTGAGATTTGTCATTTATCCCCCACTGGGCCGTGTCTTGCCTGGCCTGTTCTCCTACCCTCTGGCCCTGGCCCTGGCTCTTGCCAAGGCCTGGGTCTCCACTTGCAAGTCGATCAGGCATGGGCTTTCACCCTCACCTCTGCTGTGCTTAGCATGGCAGCTTAACCAAGAGCTGTAACACTTTGGTATCATCATAGGCCTTGGAACTCCAGAGTTTCCACTGCCACAGGAGATCATATTCTCAAAGATCTAAACTGTAACACTGTGGAAAACCTTTTCACACCCTGGCCTAGTGCACTTGGACCTTACCCTAAAGTACTCTAGCTGCTCCTGGAAGAAATGGAACCTCTCTTCTCCTTCTGGAAGCCAAGTTCCAGATCCCTGCTATAATCCAGCCTCCTCCTGCCACCCCCCCCCCAAAAAAAAAGACCAATGGAGAATAACAAGGATTTTCTCTTGTCAGTGCTTTTGTACCTTTTAAATCTTTGGTTATTCAAGGCCTCAAGAAATAGTTTTCATTGTCAGCTAACACCAGCTGCTTTCCTTTTCATATCCAACATACCAAGCTTCTTGGAACTGACCTGGCAGGGTGCTATGAGGGGGGAATTTTGCAAGATTTATCAGGGTTTGGAGGTGGCCCCGTGAGGTGGAAACTTACTTTCTGTTACTTAGAATTTTTAATTTATATTAGAAGAGATACCATAGGTAGATTCAAAGCTCTCTCTCTCTCTCTCTGCCATTTGACTGAGCCAGGGTCTGGGTATGTTGCCACATTGGTCTCCAGCTCATCATAGAGCTGAGGCCGGCCCTGAATGTATGATCCTGAGATTACAATAATGTGCTACCAAACCTATCTAGAAATATTTTAAAAATCATGCATGACTCCCCTGTATCCATGAAACGAAAACTATGTGAGCAGAAGCATGTGTGTGCAGCTGCACCTCTCAGCCCTCTGTCAGTCTCTGTGATGCTCTGTATTGCTTTCTTTTATGCTCTGGTCTGCATAGGGAAGGAATGGTCCCTTGGTTCTGCTTGACTGAGCCAGTGGGGTGCACCCAAAGGGGACCAGGGGCTAGGAGGCTTGCAAGGGTTGGTGTTATTACCTGCTCCCTCCTTTCCAGCACCCCATCAGAAGCTACTGCTTCTGCAAGCCTGGGGTTACTTTTACAGGGGTTTCATAGCCACTTCTCCTTGCCCCTTACAGAGAAGGGGTGGTCACTACTTTCTCTGTGACAATGAAGCAATTATTTCCTTGCTGGTTGTCCCGAACCCTGCTCATGGCTTTATATTCTACCACTTTATTAAACTCATGGTGATGCACACCCAAAATCCCAGTACTTGGGAATCTGAGGCAGGAGGATTAATGAGGTCAAAGCCATCCTGTCCTACATAGGAAAGCACATACACTCACAACCACACATGCACACACACACACCACACACACACACACACACACACACACACACACACACACACACATGGTTGAATTGAGGGGCTGGAGAGATGGCTCAGTGGCTAAGAGAGTTTATTGCTATTGCAGGGAATCCAAATCTAATTCCCAGCAGCCATACTGGGCAGCTCACAACCACTTACAGCTTCAGTTATGAGGGATTTAGTTTGCATGTCTTTCTAATCCCTCATGGAACCTTGGATCATACAATTTTAATTGTGTGTATGTGCCTGTGTAACTTTATGTGCACTGTGTGAGTGCAGGTGCAGAGCCAGAGATCATTAGATTCCCTGGAACGAGAGTTGCAGGTGGTTGGAAGGTGCCGATGTGGGTGGTGAGAACTGAATCCGCATCCTCTGGAAGAGCAGCGGAGTGTGCTTAACCACTGTAATAACATCCTTCACAAGTCTTTCCCCACCAAGATTTTGAGTCTCCTCAACCACTTTTCAACTTATTGTCCACAACATCCATTGTCCTGGTCATAATACTAATGTTGAGTCTAAGGTGCCATGAACATTAATTATATGTTTAAAAGAAAGGTCTTCACTGATATGTCCAGAGTTTTCTTACACATTGATGATTTTCCAAGTGTTGACACCTGGACCACAACAGCCACATCACAGTAGCATACCTATTGTGAAAGACTACTTCATTTCACGTCTACATTTTCAAGACTGCGCATCTTGCAGTTAGTGAAATACCATCATAATGTTGACAGTGTCTGCAAAGGCTCCAAGTTATTAACATGCAATATGTTTACATTTTTTATCATGTGTTCATTTGTTTTGTGTGTGTGTGTGGTGAAACAGGTCATGATGTATGGGTGTGGGGAGGTCAGAGAACTTGTTAAAGTTGGTTCTTTTCTGTAGGTTTAGATTTTTCACCAAACCTACTTTATTTAAGGTTCTTAAGCACCTTTACCTCCATTCCAACCCCTTGCAACCTTAGGTAGGAGATTAGTAGGGGAAATTAGTAGGAAAAAGAGGCTGTAGATCTCTTTTATCTACTTATGATTAGGGTTGATTGGTCTTTAGGGGATTACCAAACTCAGTTGTCAGGATACCAGCAGCCCAGTCCAAAGGCCAACACCAAGCAGCAACAGGATTCATAAGATTGGGACAAGTCAGCAAAAGCCGCAAGGCTCAGTTGGATTGCCCAGTGAAGTTCTCTGGAACATCTCTCTCTGTGAAGTCAAATGTCGAAGCACAAAGATCAGCATAGCGATGTCGATCCAAAAAGTGATGTCTCCTGTGAGTGGGCCTCTGAATATCTCCTCTCCTCAGAGTCCACCCACGAATGTTCTCAGCTGGCCGAAGTCATGTCCCTGGCATGTGAGAGCTCACAAAATATCACGTGCCCTCTCACAAGCCAACCTGGGCAAAACAGCATGTGCTCAGCTTGCAGCAAAACATCAGATGGCAAAACTCAAGTCTTCAAGGAAAAGTTCCACCTCACTTTCCTTTCACTGTGTGGGACCAGGGCTGAACTCAAGTTGTCAAGATTGGCAGGAAGTGTCTTAACTTACTGAACCCTCTTCCTGTCCCTACATATAAGTCCATGTCCTTTCCTATATCTTTTAATGCTGTTCTAACACCCAGAAACAGACAGTTGCCTGGTTTTTAACAGATGGGAAGCAGAGGCTTGTGTTAAATGCTTTGGTGAGGATCACACGTGACATGCACCACCGTCTACACGTAGATCACTCACCTGGGCAGCGACAGAGCTGTGACTCAAAATCATGCTTAATGACAAACCTATAGCCTGAGCCAGATGCTTCACAGCTGTTCAGCCACATCAAGATGCTGAGAGCCCAGGCTCTGTTCCATTTGTCCTCACTAATCTGGTCTGCCCCTTGGCTTCTTCCATGACATTCCAGATAGCTTCCACCCCAATTCTGGGTCTTCAATTTTGATGACTCTATCAGGCACCCACAAAGCAAGTCACCTATGCAGGTAAAAGCTGGCCCATATGGCAGAGAATTACTCTCATCACGCCCAGCTTCAACAGCCTCTCGGCCAGAGTGGGTGTTGTCTCTCTAGCCAAGTGGATCCCAGTGGTGGCCATCATTGAGTGTGTTTTCAGAGCTTCCAATTCTGATGAAAGCAAAGCCTCCTTCCAAGCACCCAGCTGGAAAATAACTGGGAATGTGTGAGTGTGGGATGAAAGATACAGGGAGGCTCAGCACACCGATAGCACCGCTGATGGCATCCAAGCATCACTTGATCATGGTGTGATGCTCAACCATTCCCAGATGCTCTTGCAGCGTCCTCTGATATTTCTTCAGGGAGGCTGGTGATACACTAAAGGCTGGTCAAAGTGAGATCCATAGACCAGGAGGGCCTACCAAAAATGTGCTTAAAGGCTGGCCCTGCTCCTGCCCTGCTGAATTAGAAACCCTAAGGCATGGCAACAAGTTCCAACAAACCTCCAGGCAATTCTTATCATCAAGTTCACAGCGCATGCCAACACAGGGTCCTCCCAAATCCCAGTATCTATGGTGATGTCAGTATAAATGCTTAATTTAATCACTGCACCTAAACTGCAAATTCATTTTTATATAACAAATTCTGTATAAAATGCCATACAATGTGTTTAAAGTTCATCATTTCCTCTTCTCCAATTCCAGTCTGCAGAGATAACCACATTTGACAATGTAACAGACATCCTTTCACACCAATTTTATTCTTATTCACAGGTCTACAAACTTATATAATTCTGTATGAAGTTTGTGCCGTTTGTTTCTTTTCAGTTCTTTGTTGCTGTTTTACAAAAAAATATTATTATTATTGTTTTTTATAGCACGCCTTTCCCACCACCACACTGCTTTACAGCCTTTAATGTATCGTGGGCATCTTCAAGCATCCTCCATGCCTAAGCCTGTGGTTACTTTCTTCCCCCAGGATCTGAAAGATATTCTGAAAAATGAATGCTGCATATTTTATCTAATCATTTTCTATCGATTGACTCTCAATGTATCGTCAGGTTTCCACAAAAATGGAATTAGAGAGCTCCCACTGTGAAACTAATGTCTGGCCTTGGATCTGCACCATAGCCTGATTTTGAAGCTGAAAAGGCAAACGTCTGAGAGCATTCTTGTGCACACAGAAGTACCTGAAGCTTGCCCGAGCTGCTCCTGGTAAGCACCCAATCAACACTTGGCACCTACATTTTAGAGAACAGACGCCATGCTAGCTGCTGAGGACGGAAGAGTGGACAAGACAGGTGAGGTCCTGAACCTCGAAATTGCTGTTCAATGACAGCAGAGGCACAAAAGGTATTCATTAATCAGTGTGATCCACTATGGCAGAGTTGCTAGGGAGGCCATGGGAGCCTTCCTGGAGGTGGTGTCAGGTGAGCTAATACTGAATGGAGGGAGGCTAGGTGAAGCGGATCCAGTGTTCAGAGAAGAGGGCCCAGTGTGGGAGTCTGGGGAAATGGAAACTCACGGACTGAAGGAAGGAGAGCAAAACTAGGGAATGCATAGGACCTTTGTCATGAGGCAACTGCCCCAGAAAGGTCCATTTTCCTTTAGTCACCACATCCTACGTGAATCTGATTGTCCCTCAGGAAGAGAATCTAGCCGAGGAGTGACGAATGTCTATGTGGGTTTATTCCAGGTAAGCTCAATTTTTTTTTCTTCTTTGATGCCTAAAGCAGTGGTTCTCTCTTTTTTTATTTTATTAATTTTAATTTTTTATATTAATCACAGGTTATTTACTTTGTATCCCAGCATTTTTATTTATTTATTTTTATTTTGAAAAACAAAAAACTCCCTCCTGGGGATGTGGCCACACAGTACTTTGCTGACAGGGACATGTTCTGTGCTGGCCGTGTACCTGAGGAGGATCTGAAGAGGACAATGATGGCCTGTGGAGGCTCAGCCCAGACCAGTGTGAATGCTCTGACTCCAGATGTGCTGGGCAGTTGCCAGGGGTTTGAAGAGACCCAAATAGGAGGCGAGCGGTACAATTTCTTCATCATGATTGTGAGGAGGGCCATCAAGAATGACTCTGGGGTGGCTGGTGGTGGAGCCATCGAGATGAGCTCTCCAAATACCTGCGCGATTACTCAGGGCCCATTCCAGAGAAACAGCAGCTGCTGATGGAGGCATATGCTAAGGCCCTGGAGATTATTCCTCGACAGTTATGTGGCAGCGCCGGCTTTGACGCCGCAAACATCCTCAACAAGCTGCGAGCTCAACACGCCCAGGGAGGCAGGTGGTATGGGGTAGACATCAACAGCGAAGACATTGCCAACTTCCAGGCCTTTGTGTGGGAGCCAGTCACGGTGAACATCAACGCCTTCACAGCGGCCTCTGAGGCTGCGTGCCTGATTGTGTCTGTGGATGAGACTATCAAGAACGCCCGATCCACAGTGGATGATCCCCCAGGAGCCGCTCGGGGCCGAGGCCAAGGCCAAGGCCAAGGCCGCCTCCATGGAGAGGCAGTCTGCACACGTCCCTGTGAGGTGAACTGTGGTTGAGGAAGTGGTTGATTGGTCTGCTGTGTTCTCACTGGAGGTTATTTAAATAAAACTTAAAAGTTTAAAAAAAAAAAAAACAAAACAAAAAAAAAAGAAAAAAGAAAAACAAAATGGAAATTGTGTACTTGAAGGCAACACATAAATGAAACCAAGAAGGAAAATTTTAACTATGGCTGTGAATTCGAGACAATAAAATGTTGAAAAGGGATCCTGGGGGTGGGGTGAACATCACTTTCCCACCCTCTCCAACAAATCAGTAAGTGCTGTGAAAGATGTCTCATATTTTTCACAGTATCTCAAGTGGCCATTCTCATTCTGAATGAGAAAGTGTGTTGAGCATGGCCCGTGAGGTGAAATTTTATCTGGTCACAGATGCAAATCCTGCATCCTCTTTGAAGTTTATTTTTCATTATTTGAAATTATGTGTGTGCATGTGTGGTGGAGGGCAGAGTGGCATGGGAAGGCAGGTGTCCTCACAGGAAGGTCAGATCGCCCCGGAGCTGGAATTACAGGAGGTTAGTAGTGGGTGGTGGGAATGGAGCTCCAGTCCTCTGACAGAGCAGTACATGCTCCTAACCAGTGAGCCACCTCTGTAGCTCCTCTTACTTAATCTCGACCACAGGTTTTTTCCCAGGCGCCTATCTTGGGGCAGGAAGACACGGATGCGGCGGTGCTGTCATTGTACCACAATTCGTAACGGCGATTGCGAAAAAGCATTAGCGCGTAAAACTGAAGCATTGCGATGTCGTCATGCACCATTGTGATGGCATCACTGAAGACGTTTCAAAAAATAGAGCGTTGGGTTGGCACAGATGGGAACAAGATTTTTCTCAGAGTGGAGCATCGTGTTAGCACCGTGGAGAATTTTGATGTCACATCGGACCATTGTGGTATCACTGGACCAACAGGATGACACAAAGACACATTGTTTGCAGGGTGGAATGCAGACTGGCATATGACGATGTGGCGTTTTGATGTCACAATGCAGCATTTTGGTGTCACAGCGGAGCTGTGTATCGTCTTGGCACGGTGCAGCGCTGTAACCTATTAGGGGAACTGTGACCTCACAAAGCTGCAGCACCGTGGGCTACTGCGATACCACAGTGCTGCACTGTAACGCACAGGAAAACACTGCGTGTCACAGTGGAACCTTGTCATGTGACCGTCTATCTGTGGACACTAAAATACGTTGCCATGTAAAAACGTAGCATTGTGATGCCACAGGGAAGAGGCATTATCCCAACAGACCACTGTGATGCCATTATTGAGCAAATGATGGGAGAAAGATTGCATGTGAAGTCCATGCTGTAACCGCCCCATGCCACCTCACTGTCCCCCGTTTGGAGAGAACATCTTACATCCGTCCCCCACCCCGGAGGCCTGGGACTTATCTTCAGCATGATGCACAGTGCGCTGTTTCCAAGCAGCTCACGGGCCCGTTACAGCCCTTCTCTCCTCTCACCTCTATGTGGCTCTTCTCAAAATTCTCAGAAGACTTTTCCTAGGGTTAGCTTGGGGTTAGCTCACCTGGCTAGAAAGCATGTATGTGGCGTAGCAGGGTTTGCAGCGTGTGAAGAATGTATCACTCGCTCTGTACCCTCTCCAGGCCGAGTCTCCCAATTTGATGTCTGCATTGCTAGAATGGCAGCGAATATGTACTCCCTCAGCCACTTTTGCCTTGCCTGATGCTTAAGGAAGTAAGAGCTTAATTTGGTACAGTAGTCATAGTAAGAGTCTGCTCGCTAGTCTACGGAGAATTTCTTGTCTTAAATCTATCGAGGATAGAGTCCTCTGTGCTACCGTTTCCTTTTTAGCTGATAGCATATGAAGATGTTCCATTATTGACCAGTCCTCTGCTCAGAGCCTTGCGGTTTATTTTGAATGTTTTCTTTGTATAGGCTTATGGAGATATAGACACCTCAACATGCATAGGTGTAGTTCATTTTATAGGGTAAGTTCATTGTAATGGAATTAATGCTCACAGAAAATAAATGTATTCATTTGTGTCTTGCTTACAGGAAGAACTTTCTCATGTCAATGTTAAAGCAAAATTTCCCCGTTTTCTCTTATAGAATTTTTCTTTGTTTTGTAAGGTTTATAAATTGGAATCAGCAAGTTGCCTGTCTTTGTAAATTCTTTCACAAGAGCACAGCTAAACATATTTGTGCATATACTTAAAGACAGCTTTTTTTACTGCAATGACAGAGCTTTTACATTTGCCACTGGATGATAATGGGTTTTATTCTAATAAGTAACAAGGAAAAAGTAGATATTTTAGCTTACTGTCATTTTCCTCACCATGTCCTGTGACTGAAAAATGTGAAAACAGCAGTTTCTCTGAATCTAACCACTCATGTGGAGCTTCAGAAGAACAGCTATAAGCCTTGTCTGTCGGAAGACACGGACCACTAACACAAGGTTTTTAGCAAACATCCTCTGTATGGACTCAACATTGCTATGCCATTGTTTTCTGTTGTATAAATTAATTTTTCTTCAGCTATGTGCTAAGGGCACACATACAAGTAATCCTCTGTGAACATAGGCAGGACCCACTAAGGACACAGAGTGGGTCCTTCCTGTCTCCAATCCTGTCCACCCTCACTGGAGCTGCCATTACCCTCAGCAGAGAGGGCATGTGGCAGGGTGGTTTCCAGGATGCTTTATAGCTTGTTTGTTTAGGTGAGGAAGGAGCTGCGTCTGCTTAAATGACAGAAAACCATTCCGTGGATGGCCCTTCTTTCTCTTACTGGTGGATTTCCAGTAAGTATTGGAAGTATTGTCCACATGGTTCTGGCTTTAGAATCCTGAAAGATACACAAGTAAAGAGGTTGTGGCATCTTCCCCCATGGCTACAGAGTGTCACTAATGCCAGGTGTGTGTGGTCAGGGGTGTCCCTGCACGGAAGACCCGAGAGACCATCGCATGAAGACTCTGGAAGTAAAGATTCTCAGATGTCAAATAGGACAGGACGTTGGCGTGTCTGCCAAGGAGAGCTGCAGACAGGGAGCAGAACCAGCTCAAGAGGGTGTTGTAGACAGGAAAGCCCAAAATGCAGAGCTGTCTAAGCCTTCTGGCCTCAGGCATGGAGCCGCAGGGGTTGGAGTTCGTTCTGGTCTTTCTTAGACCCGGTGTTTCCTCAGCGTGCCCTGGTCCCCTGTTAACATACTTCTTTTTTCTCAATTGAAATTTTCTAAGCATTTTTATTACAAACATTTCAAACATACATAAAATAGAAAGAGTAGTACAAGGAAAGCATGTAGGTATCACTGCACTTTGTCATCTATGCCAATTTTCTTTCTAAATCTATATTCATTTCCCCCTTGATTATTTTTTTAATTTTTAAAAAATTTTTATTAATTACACTTTATTCACTTTGTATCCCCCTGGGGACCCCACCATCCTCCCCTCCCAGTCCTACCCTCCCTCCTCCTTCTCTATGCATGCCTCTCCCCAAGTCCACTGATAGGGGAGGTCTTCCTCTGCTTTCTTCTGATCCTAGTCTATCAGGTCTCATCAGGAGTGGCTGCATTGTCTTCCTCTGTGGCCTGGTAAGGCTGCTCCCCCCTCAGGGGGAGGTGATCAAAGAGGTTGGCGTACTTTTTAAAAGCCCTTTTATTTTTTAATATTTAACATTTTAAAATATCTCTCCGTGTTCAACCCCAGTCCCTTCCAAAATCCCAACACCAGATAGGGGAGAGAAAAGGGTAGTGGGAGAGGGACATAGTTCTCTTAGCTGCTTCTTGCTGGTTAAACTTGTCAGGTTCCTTGGAGCCAGTTCAATCTTCATTTCAGGAGATCTCCAACTTCTTGTCTCATTGGGTCAACAGCAACCAGGAGCCGCAGGGGGAAGCAGCAGCAAGCTTCTTCTTTCTGGAGCTCTCCAACACTGTCTCTGCTCTGGCATTTATTCTCTCCAGAGTCCTCAGATTTAAACTATCTGTAGCTGTCAAAGAGCCCCTCAGAGCCTGCATGAGGCAAATAGTTTGCTGCTGTGGACGGTCTGAATCAGTCCCACATCCCACACCTGGTATTAAAACAAAAACTTCTTTATATCTTCAACATGTATTTATTAATAATTTAATTAATACATGTTTTAATTGTTGATCTTAGGGCCTAGGCTGTTGGTGTTCTGTTCAGGAAATTGTCTCCTGTGTCAATGAGTTCAAGGCTCTTCCCTACTCTTTCTTCTAGTAGATTTAATGTGTCTGGTTTTATGTTGCTGTCTTTGATCCGCTTGGACTTTAGTCTTGTGCAGAATGATAGCTATGGCTCTCTTTGCATTTTTCTGCATGTAGACACCCAGTTAGACTAGCACCATTTGCTGAAGATGCTATCTTTTTTCCATTATTTGGTTTTGGCTTCTTTGTCGAAAATCAAGTATCCATAAGTGTGTGCTTTAATTTCTGGGTCTTCAATTCAACTCCATTGACCCACCAGTCTATTTCCGTGTACCATGAAGTTTGTATTATTGTTGCTCTACAAAAGCTCTTGAGATCAGAGATAGAGATACCTCTGAAAGATCTTTTGTTGTACAGAATTGTTTTAGCTGCTCTGGTTTTCTGTTTTTCCACATGAAATTGAGAATTGTTCTTTCAAGGTCTGTAAAGAATTGTGTTGGTATTTAGATGGGAATTGCATTGAATCTGTAGATTGCTTTTGGCAGGACGGCCATTTTCACTGTGTTAATATGAGTGGAATAGTAGCATAGTTGCCATAAAGGGATGACCTGGGAAATAGTTGTTTTTACTCTGCTGCTTCCCTTCACTCAGTAACAGCTGCAAGAATAGAGGCTATGACTCTGCAAACACTTTATAGCTACGCATGGATTTCTATGAAAAAGTCATTTCTCCTCGATAAGACCAGACTCCAGATGTTCTTATCCATATCCTATGAAGACAGTGGTAACAACCTATGTCAAAAACATCCTATGATCAGAGACTCGAAGACTGGGGCACCCTCATGTTAGATGAGGGACAAGTCTGCGTCTGAATCTTTATTGG